TCACATGCTAAAATCTGTCATTTTACTGAGGCTCACAGTTGAGTGGTCATAGTGCAACCAACCAGGGCCCTCCCTGCTTCTATTCACATTCCAGACAGGGGTTTTCTTCTCTAATAACTCTTGCAAGGTGATACAAATACATGTTTTCAAGTATGCCTCTCTGAACTTCGATGGTAAAACTCCATATCAGATATTAGTGAATTCAGGGATTTGTAAAACTAGTTTGGGGAAGAAATTGGGTTTTTTGAAGGTCAAGGAACAGGAGTTGATGCCAAGGAAATGACCAAATTGTTTAAAAGCATTCCTGACAGGTTAAGTAACAACATTTAAGAAAAATTTAAATTCCAATGGTGTTACACATACACTCTCATTGGCATCAGGTCCTGGATTTGGTTTAAATCTCAAACAGTACCATATCACTTCTCAATGGGACTACATAAAGCTAGAGCTCTATCTCTCTATATCTGTAGTATATATGTAGGGAAACAGGAATGAATCCCAGCCTGGTTTTCAAAAAGCTGCAGCACTCAGGAGAGCTAGAACTTAAGACTCAGGTGAGGTAAGCTGGGCCTCATAGCTCGAGCCTACCATGCGCATGCACCTGCTGTCTGTGAACAAGCCCCCATGATCCCTAGCCTTGTTCTTGAGTATGTTGAATGCTTATCTTACATGCCTATCATAATGGAAATAGATCACTTCTTCACACTGCTCCTGCCCCAGCACCACCTACCATTCTCTCACTGGGGCAGGATGAGGGAGATTGAGGATCCTTCTGCTCCCCGCCACCTTATCCACCATCATTTTCCCAACCAATCTTCCCTTTTTAAACATACACATCACCCTCTTATATCCTCCTCTTCAGTATCTGACTCCCCTCCATTTCCCTTTCTCTCAACTCTTTCCCCTAGTCTGTCTCAGTCTTTGGTTTTCCCATCTCCCACCAATTTCTTTGTTAATTCTTCTCACATTCTGATCTCGGGATTCCTCAACTTGTCAATATTTTTAAAACTTTTACCGCTATTGCACTGAAGCTGTCTACAAACTTGGCTCTGTCTAATTCCTAAGTATCTCTTCAAAGTCCCCAAGATCATAGGTCTATGGCCCCTTTTCTCATTCTCCTCCACAGAGTCTGTTCTGTCTTCATGGTCAGTCTCAGAATCAATACACTACTCTGTCTTCACTTTCTTCAACATCCTGTAGACACCCCAATGATTGCCCTCCTAACTTTGATTGCCTTGTCCTTGTCCAACCATCATGTCCACTGAAGTCAGGCTCCATCCTGGAGAAGACCATAGAATCTGCTTTCTCTATCTATGCCTTATGTTTAAGACTCAGATGCTAGTCAGACGATAGTTGGGAAAAGGCAGTGGTGGTGATGTTACATTTTCTGAGTTTCTGGTAGTAAATACTGTCCTGAGTACTCTGCATGCATTAGCTTAAATTCTAATTGATTTCACTATACTGGAATACTAGTCAGTTACCTTCCCCCTAGGATTTCTGTGCTTCTAAGCAATCATTACGTCTATGTTTGATTGGCTCTTGATCACATTCCTCGTTGTGACTCCTTCAAAGGTTAACATCTCCCTGAAGTCTAAAGCCCACTCCCAACTCCAAGACCACCTTGCTTAGTTTTTTAAAGAGATAAAGTTTTTCAACATGATTTTCCACACTCTTTAATGCCCTCAAATTTTCTAAATATTTCCATCTAGACCTTCTGTATCTTTCCTAACATACAGATTCTTTCTAAGGTCAAGCAACCTTCTCTTACACCCTGATCTACATTCTCTTGCTTCCTTTATCATCTTCTCTCTTCTGTCTTCAATGTCTCTCTTTACAGAAGATCCTTCCCCTTCATCTGCCCTTCTTCTCCATCCTTTAAGAACCTTCCTTCTTCCCTATGGCCCCTCCAACCCCAGAGAGAGGTAGACAGGCTTTCCTGGCCTCCCCAGGAATGGGCTGTGTTCCCTATGACTATGGGCCTCATTCCTCTGGGTCAGCTCTCAAAACCAAAGTTGCCCCAGTGGGAGGTCTAGGATTGTTTGAACCATTAAGGACCAACTTGGGACAGAAAGCTGTAAGTTGTGTGTAATATTCTAAGTACAGTGCTGCATTATACTTAATAGGATAGGAGAAGGGAACAGTCTTTTGGCTGTTTCTGTCTCTCAGTGTCTTGCAATTCCTGTCTTATTTCAATTTGATCCAGGGCAAGGAGGCAGATCGATTTGGGGAGGCCCTGAGGCATACTTCCCTCTTACCGTAATCTCTTTCAACCAATCTATCACTAAGTCTTGACAATGCCATTACCTTAACACCCTCTGTCATTTCTAACTGTTATGCTTGCTCCCTTCTCCCCCTGGCTCCAGCCTTGTCCTGCTCCATTTTCTTCACCATGTTGAAGTCAGAGGGACTTTCTGGAATACATCCCTGTCTGAAACTCCTCAGTGGTGCCCTACTGCCTAAGGCATAAGTCCAAGGTCATTACGGCCATCACAAACTGACCTCTGCCTACCTTGTCTCTCCCTCCCACCTGCCCATATCAAGCTCCAAAATACCAACGAAGTGTTTATCAAATTCCCCAACCTCTCTCCAGCCCTTGTGCCTTTGTCCCTTGTTCATTCTCCCCCCCCCCCCACCAGGAATAACTTCCCCTCCTACTCTCTTCTATTAGTTCTTCCAGACAGTTCAAGGATCACCTTCCCACCCATATGAATTTCCAGTTAAGGTGAAAGAAACAAAGAACAATTGAGGAAAGCGTAGATGAGTGAGACAAGTGTCCACTCATTGTCCTGCACAATGGTGGCACACAGCAGGCAGAACAAAGAAGTAGTTAAAACCACTGGGTCAACCAAGCTTGGATCTTAGCCCAGCCACTTACTGGATAATTTCTTGAATTTTTCTCTTTAATGTCTTCCCCAAGCATCACAACCCCAGGTTGGTTTCTGTGCCCTTTCCCAGGTGCTCTGGGTACCCCAGGCATTCTTTATCCTCTTCATGTGAGTTGCTCTTATCTGATTCTTGTCTGTATCACATGCCAGACTATTAGCTTTTTATCAGGAACTGTATCTAATTTGCCTTTGTAGTCCCTCTGTTCAGCAATAAGGCCTGACACTTGCACACACATAAATGTCTCCATGATGAATAAATTAGATTTTAAATAAGAGATAGAAATTGAAATTTTTAACACCTTGGTACCTTAGTACTGTTTATTTTCATTATCTGCTACAGTAAATAAAAAAGATGAATTTTCATGGATCGGCCAGGATGTCATTAGTATTAAGAAGAAATGAAAGATTCTAAGTTAAGCAGGGCGTGCATATTATTTTTACTGCTAACATTTCTTGAGGGTTCACTCTGCAGTAAGCACTCTTCTAAGCATTTTACAGGTATACCTAACCTTCAAAATAATCCCCATTTTACAGAATTTTACAGAAGAGAAAAATTCAAGGACTTATCCAGTATTTGGCTAGGATGAGATCTGAGCCTGGCAGACCAAGTAAGTGGTTTTCACTTCCTCATTGTCCTACTGTTGTGTGGCCACCATTGTGTGGCCACCATTGTGCAGAACAATGAGTGGGCATTTGCCTCATTTGTCTATCTCTTATCTCAATTATTTGCTGGTGTTTTACACTTACCTAGAAACTCACAATTCTAAATATATTGATTTATTAACAACAAATGATGACTGAGTTTTTCCTGCTTGGCTGGAAAAAAACAAAAAACCAAAAACATCAACAAAGTCAACACCTTGCCAGTTGACAACTTGCCAGTTGCTAACAGGAAGTAACGGGTGGGGTAGGTAGTAGGCAGCCTGTGTCAAATGCATGCATCCCATTTGGGATTAATTTTCTTTCCTTCTAAAAAAGGAGCTCTTTAAAGTTTGATACCTATTTGTAAGGTTGTATTTTTAAAAAAATGACTGTTCAAAGAAGCCCACTGTTTCAAAAGGTTCCAAATTGAAGAATTTCTTTGAGTTTCTCCACTCCATAGACCAGCCATAGAAACCAAAATGGCAGTAATGGAGAAAGAGTAGGAGAAGTTTTATTTTGAGCTATCCAAAATTGAAGCTTGTGGTGGTGGAAAAAAAATCAGCAAAATATAGTCACCTTGAAACTACACCTCCACCCACTCTGAGTTTGGATGTCAGCATTTGGCTTTTTGATTTGTAAACAGCTTTCTGCAGAATGCATGAATATTTCCAGAACTTGTGACTTAAAGAGATTTTCTTTCCCTCCAGTACTTCAAATGTCCTTTTAATAATAATGAACTGGGGCTTATCTGAGTTCTGGCTAGTTTTGTAAAACAAATAATTGCTGAGCAGAGGAAGTAGGTTTATTTGCATTTAACTTTTTTCTTAAAGAGAAATTCTGCCACCCTCTGGACAGAAACCAATGATCTGTTCTTAGAGATGCACCAGGAGCACTGTTTTAAACACCTGAAATAAACATTTTTTTAATCGGCCCCTTTAAAAAGGGAATAGGCAGGGTGGGAAATTGCAGTTTCTGTAGACTGAAATATCTGAAAAAAATCATTTTAAATACTAAGAAACTTGTAACTAAAGAGGACACAGTTTCAGAGCACATTAAAGAATCTCTACTATTTAACCTGTAATCTTCCTCCAAATCAGTTTACAGCCCGCACTTCCTGGGTCAGCCACAGCCAGGTAAAGATTTTTCTTCACACAGCTTAGGCCATGTCTGCTTCACAGTTATCGTCATTGTTTGTTTTTTTTTTTAACTCACATTTATATTAAATATACATAGATACATACATCTGTTGGTTTTCAACTAGCACCAACTGAATACAAGGCTAGTAAGATTTTGGCCATTTAAGAGAAATTCGACACAGAGCACAAAGGGACAGTGTGCCTCTGAAGCCTGCCGCTCCTAAAAGCAACTCTCAAAAATAATAATGCAGTAATAACGTTGGTCAAATCAAAACACACGCCACACCATTTTTATGAATAGACAGAGATAGAGGCAAACAGACATGGAGTGTCGTACCTGGTTTTAGCAACGGGGTTTAGTTGCTTCTGGTCTTGGAGCACCTTAACCAGCTGTTTTTGCAGAAACAAAACCTTTCCATGAGCTCCTTTAATAAATGGGTGGTCGAGGAGATGTGTGACAGAAGGCCGCTTTTCAAAGTCCTTAATAAGACACCTGTTTGCAAAAATCAACAAACAATCTTAGCAGTAGATATGGGAGAGAGGAGATGAGACGGCTCATTTAGAAAACCTGATCATTCACTCTTCTTTGTTAATGTGTAACAGAAAGTAGAAAAAAAAATTCTTTGCTAGTTGAATCAATTAAAATATCATAAATCTATTTTAGTTTGTTTTTTAATAAATATTGAAAGCACAATCAGTTTTTATCAATTTACTTTGAAGTATTCAAAACATTAAAAAATAAACTGGTCAGAAAGTTTTCTGTCTGATTTCTCATTATAGGAAAATGTTTTCAATGGCGTCAAGTTGATTAGACTGTATATTTTATTTTAGAAGCATAAAGAATTAAGGACTATCACCTCAGTTAAATCTTAATGTATGAAATGTCTCTTATTTGATGGTGGGGAAAATGCATTTAGGAGCTTGCAAGGAAATTGACAAATCTTTAAAAAAAAAAAGAACACAGGAAGTCTAGCAGCTTGGTTTCTGATGTCTTCTGAAGAAGCAGAAAAACCTCAGAACAGGAAGTGACTACCATATAATTCGGATCAATGCAAACAGGGAACAAAAAGTCCATTCAGAATGGTAAAAATCAGGTTGTCTTTAAACTCTGCAGTTAATTGGTTAAAACCACATCGTTATAACACTTTCCATTTCAGATTCAATGCCTTCTTCAAAGAAAATAATGATTTAGTACATTTTGCTGTGTGCTCCGTGTTACTAAAGATGATTTTGACACAAGGAAATTTCTCATGAAATGGAATCTGATGAGTACCTCTCCAAGTACCACTGCATTCCTATGCTGAGCAGCTGCCCTTGGTGAGCAGAAGAAATTCCACCATCAGCCCTGTGAAGCTCTCAGTTTTTAGTTCACATTGGAGGCTCAGGATAAATACTGGATGCCATTCTGCCCACTGCATGACAGAATCAGCTTTAGTTTTCCTGACGGTGGCACACCAGTGACATCTGAAATACCACATATGTTTAATAATTAAAAGCCCTGAGAAATAACAAAAAGCTCAGCATCCCCTTCTGCATCTTTTCAGAACACTCCAGCAGAGTTCTTAAAGCAATCCTCAGCTGTTTGATTTACAGAAAGCATTTTAACCTTTGCAGTTTTCTCTTGGAAACACTTTTGCATTCCTCACCTTCTAGTCCTGAAGGATAATCCATACCTTTTCTGGTCAGGCAGTCCGTGTGAGGATTGACTCAGGGGCTTCCCAGTCTCTTGGAGCTGAAGCTTGCAGCTGGAAAAGCCAACAGCAACTGCACTACCCCCATTCTGCTGCCTGCAGGACTATAAATACCACTTCTACCTTGCCATGGGAAGAAATCAATCACTGGACTTTTATAGGTTCAGGGGCCTTTTGTAGTCCTATTATTTTTCCTACCAACAATACAAAATCAGGGCACACGCTTACAAAAGACTGTGTCTTTACATCAGCAGTCTTCCCTTGATTTCCACGTAGATTCATCTGTCTATGTAACCCTCAAAATAAACTAAATGCAAATCATCACATTTCCCTAGGAAAGAAGGGAATTAAGAGGTAGTTACACGGTCAGTAATACAGGTGATGGGCCAGTCCTTTTGAAGGAAAATGTCCCCTGAATGTTTCCTGCTGAAGACAGACCTAGGGCAAAAACATCCCCTGGAGCTTCAGAGGGAACAGGGTGGATGGAGGTCCAGGAGCTGCTGGATCCATGGCTGAAGTCTTTCCCCACATGCAGGGGGAGAGATTTCTTGTTTCCCCCATGACAGCTCCACCCACACTCTGGCTTTACCTCGCTCTCTCCCTGCATTACTTATGAAGCTTTGTCAGTAGGACCTTGTTGGAAGGGAGCAAAGAGCAAGAGGACTGGGATAGCTCTGCCTGCCTGGTGACTAGTGCCAACACTTTAAATGAGCAGACTCAGGGGGCTGAGGCTGAAGAGGGGATAGGTGGCAATTTTTAAAACTTACAGTATTTGAAGGGGACAGTGAGCTTGAGATACCTCCATCTTCCTCCCTGAGACAGGTGCCTGGGACAGTGCTCCAGGTAAGGCCTGAACACAGGTCCTGTGGGTACTTAAGTAAAGTGCTCAAACAGAATTTGAGAAAGACTGGGAACTCCAAACTCCACCCAGCCTTAGGAGAATACATCTCTAGAGTCTAGGGATGAAATTGAAGGTGGCAAATCTTGTTTCCTAATTTTAGCATTCACTGGAGAAGCAAGGCTTCCAGCAAGGCTGCAGGATCATTTGGCATGTTGGGGAGGGTCTCTAGATCTCAGAGGAATAAGAGAAATGCACAAATGATGAAGCAAGAGAATCAGACTAAGAAGAAACTAACATGTGGATCTGTTCTCGTGAGGATCCAAAATATGAAGACGGGAGCACTCGACTCCCCAGAAGACGCGTTAGTTCTCTCAGCAAGAGAATGTGGATTGAGCGTCACACCTTGGATCAGCAAAACTGAAGCTGAGTGTGTCTGGGAGGAATACTAAGAAGCCCTGCACCAAGGGTGTAGCCTGAGAGCATGGCGTTATTCTCAAACACTCCCATACACTTTCTTCTCATGAGGGCATAGAGCCAGTGTGAAAGGGAATTAAGTCCTCCCCTAGGAGTACATAGGTCTGAAAGGCATGCGTTACCAGACAGCAGGACACTGGCATCATATTGTTTCATTTACTCAGCAAACATGTATTACACAGCACCAGAATTTGCCTAAATAAAAAATCATGACCCTTACCTCAAGGAACTACAATCTAATTGGAGAACGGTGGACCAGAGAAATTCAGGAGACAGCAAAAGCCAGCATTTGCTCATATATTTAGGACAAGAACTAATAACAGAAAGACATAGGGTTTCAGAGCCACAAGAAAAGAGATTTTCTATTCTAACCCCATTTTAAGAGGTGAGGAAACTGAGGTCAAGTTCAGTTAGTGATGAAGTCAATGCCTCAGCTCCTATGGAGAACCAGTCCTCCTCAATTCTGTTGTTAAAAATGACATGGCTTTGATGGGAGGTGTTGTTGGGGTAGCTCTTGTCAAGACCTCCCAGAGCTGAGAACTGAGCCAGATCTAGGAGAATTCAAGTGAATGAAGTTGGTAGAGAAGAGGCGGAAGGCGTTTCAGAGTCAGGAACTGAACCAAGGAACACAGAGGTGAGGTTATAGCAAGCTATCTGGTTGGCAACTCAGAACGCCCCCAGACATTCACCTTCACCTCCTAAGCTGCCACTTTCCAACACCTAAGAACAATTATTGGCTTTATTTAGTTCCAGCACCTACTTTAAGTTGGATGAAACTATCATTGCTTAAGACTTTGCAATTTGATGCCCAAACTTTTCCTGTTTAAGTTTGTCAGCTCATTTCTACCTTGGATGACAATGGAACTGCCTGTGCTGGGATGGTCAAAACCCCTAATGGCCTCTGTATACTTTTTTAAAGCAAGACAGAATCCTCTCACCTGAACTGGAGAACAAACATGTGAAACTAAGGAAGTTGAATATGCTTCTTAATTTCAAGATTGCTCATGAAGCCAGGAATCACCAAGTCCAGCTGTACAGATGCAGACTCTTCTACCCAGCCAGACACTGAGCAGGTGTTACCAAAGGAGACATAAAATGTGGAATTCTGTCATGGGACTTGGGGGCCAGCAGTGTGGTGTGAGTTGGGGGAAGTGCTAGACATGTGAGGTACTCCATCAAGAAAGACTAGAAGAAAGAGAAAGGAGGGAAGGAGAGAGGGGAAGTAGGAGAAAGGAAAAGGTTTCCTGGTGAAAAAGTAAAGTTTGGGAAACATTGATGAACCTCTAAGCCAAGTAGATCTGAGTATTTATTAAAGGATTTTAAAGTACTGGGGTTAAGAAAACTGCTTAATTTTGTTTGAGTCAATGTTTCCAAATTTATTTGGTCCCAGACCTTTTTCCCTTCCTTTCTCTTCCCTTCCCTTCCATCTTTGTATCCATGAGCCCCACAAATGACATCCTTGGAAGTTCTGTTGTAAGAATTAGTCCTGTGCTTTTGGAATGTGGACTTAGGGGAGACCCATAGAGGCCCTAGTTATCACCACACGTGAACATCTTTGGCTGTGTTTCTACAGAAGACAGTGTCTCAAACTGAGGAAATACACTCCCAATTCAATTCTTCCAGAGTCCTTTACTCTGGGGTGGGGTGGGGGGACTAAATTAAACGTGGACTAGCTTTAGAGAAACTAAATCAGAAGTAAATCTTTCATTCCCAGATTATTTTAACCTCCTTTGTGATTTTTTTAAAATTTGGGTTTAGATGAGCTTTCTCTGTGCTAAAAGACAAAACAAAACAGAATAAAAAACTTATTTCTATCATGAGACATGTGTAAGAGTCCCAGAATTTACAGGGTCATGGTGGGTGGTTTGAATATGACAGAAAAATCACTAGAAGAAAAACAGAGCAAATTTCAGCCTTGAAGGAAATCAATCTATTATCTAATTTGAAATTCTAGCACTTTCCATCATGCTTTCTTGGCTGAAGATTAATTCTCAGAATTCATTAGTGTCACCACATTAAACACAGGTTGTTGGAGCCATTCGCAGCAATCTTCCAGACTGGCTCATGCCAAAAACAGGCAAAAAGGGATATTTCTTAGCAAGGAGCAAGATTGGGCCAGATGATAATGCTGTTGAGATACAGGGCCACCCTGTGGCTGTAAATTGTCATTTCATAAACAAAATCCCAGATGCCTGCAAGGGGGAGCTATTTATCAAAAGTCATTGACTGATGTTTACCCATGAATAAACTTACTAGATATAAGGCGGCTGAAAAAGCAAAAACTGAAAATACTGGTGAGCTTGGTGAGAAAAGCTTGAGGAACAGCAATCTTCTCCCACACAGAGGGACAAAACTAAATCAAAACTCAGAATTTATGTCTCTTCTCATTTCTTTATCAATATTCTGTCTTTTGTATCTTCTGCTATTTTAATGTAGGCTGGTTACTTAGGTTGTTAATTGTTCCTGTTGGTAGAGAACATCTAAACG